ATAGATAATGCTGAACTTTTGTATTGTAAACGTCTCTTTAATTGGACTTTAATAGTACCAGACTCATGAGGTAACCTTGGTAGCATATTGACAGTATTTGTGACATCAGCTGGTACATTTACTACATTGCCATTGATCTTAAATTGTTTACCTCTTGGTGCTTGCATAATCTTTTCAAAGGCTAACCTTGGAGCAATGAGCCTACATTCCAATTCATTTAGGTCAAAGAAACCAGGCTTGGATGGGAATTTTATTCCATTTGTCATGGCACTTGGTGGCACTTTATTCTTTTTTAAATACTTGTTACATAATTGACAAATCCATTTTTTGCCATTAACACTAATGATTCCTTGCAAATGCTTGGCCATGTTGGTATTGCACATTGAACACTGTGCTTGTACCAGATAATTGGTCACAACATGTACAAATATATAATGGGCCTTCTGATACAGCTTCATGGAATTTTTTTACCAGCTTATTAATGTTCTGCTGATAGTTTTCCTTATTTTGTGCAAACCTGGCTTTGACTAATTTGTTGATCATATCGCTGTTGTGTTGCAAGTCTATTTTTGCTCTATGTATAGTTTCATTTTGTCGTTTTACCTATAGATATCTCTTGTTTTTCAATAAACGTTTCTCTTTGGACTCACAACTTTCGCTCGCTCGTTTTTGTTTAGCATACTCCCTTTGTTTTGATAACCTTTTGTAACGTTGGGCCGTAGAACTGGGTGAGTCATCCGTGTCCCAGGGACCGTTAGCAATAAGCTCAACTCAATCCAAACTCCAACTGAGTATTTCAGGCTTGCACCATCGTCGCGATAGAAATCAGTCCAACACTAGTAAAGCTTTGGAATATATATTTCTTGTCTTCTATTTACAATCCTCTATATTTCTATCTTCTATATATTATATATATGTGTGCAAGCGTTTATATAGTGCTTGCATAAGTTAATTATGACGTATTTGGCACGCAAACTATGGTAATACAATCCGCTATAACAAGATAACTGGAGTTCCATGATTACCATAGAAGGCAATCTACAAGACCAAGTTAGCGCTGTGTTAGCACTGTTCAAGCGCGGTTTCAGCGTTGCGTCACTTTTACTTAAGCTTATATATATAGCTCCTTGTAGCTGCGTTCTAGCGCTGCTAGAATTACCTCATCCGCTATGTCACATAATTCACCATATTATGCAAATGTTATAATATGTAATCTACGCTACACTTTTCTCTCTTTGCTCAGGTGTTTCAGTGTCATGTTTCCTTTTTTTGCATTGATTGACAGCATTTTTGTCAACTGGGCTATGACCTATTTTTGTACATAAATTATGCTTTAGTACTGATTGTTCATCTTACATTCCATGCTCTAAAATTATTAGTGTCTTGTTGCTCAATCTTGATAAACCCTGACTATTTACATAAACATTTACTGCTTTAATTTCAAAAGGCATTATACCCTTAGCTGATACAGTCTGAAAGTATGGAACAAGGTTTTGAATACTGCTTGCTGTAATTAAAATGCATTTTCCAAATAGACTTGAGGCACCAAATAAATCTCTGGCATGAGAATCAAATATTCTGAAAGATCCATCTGCCATTTTAAATATTGTCACAGTATTGCAACTAATGGTAAGAAGAGCTAAGTGTAGTTCAATTCAGACGACAGAAATATTTTGTTAATTGCACTTTGAAGTGTGAAATAAGGTTCATTATTCTGTGCCATAAATACATCCCCAGCATATGACTCACTGTATTGTAAATTGTATATTGTTTCATTAATAGAAACCATTTCAGGTACATCGGTCAATAATAACAGGTCTTTGTTAACAGAATTAGTGATAATTGTGTAAAGTTCACTTCCATGTAATAAAATTGTATTTAACAATGCTGAATTCCAGCTATTAACATCTTGTATTTGGCTGAAAACTATTGCTGTCAAAGACATAGCAACACATTGCTTTCCTGCATTGTCTCTAAATCTAATTTGACAACCTTGACTGAAATCAGCACAGATAGTTTGGGTACCATCGATAATATCACACAGTGTTGGTCCTGGGTTAATTTCAACATCATTTGACAATCTTAATAAACCAGGTACATAGAGTTGGTGATAACAAACCATTTTAATAAACCAGATAATTGTCTCATTTGATTTGCTATATTGTTCTATTTGTATATTAAAAGAAATTTAAATAAAATAACATTAGCATTGTGTTCCAGAAAATACCTGATAGACTTTAGCAACTTCTCTTTGCCTGAGTAAGCATATATGTGCACCAATTCTTGCTCTGTACAGTTCGATTGATATTCCCATATTTTGGACTTACCAGTATTTTCGGTATACTAACAGTGCTAGTAGTAGTGTCAGACGTCAGTGAATATTGTTGTTTGAGTTTATTCGTTTGGTCAAGATTTTAGCAGATTGTTTGGAAGTTTTGTAGGTTTTTTTACAGATTTTTGGCAGGTTTTTAGCAGATTTTTAGCAGATTTTTGGTAGATTGTGATACAACACGCAATTGCCTGACCGATTTAGCTATGGGTCAGTGCAGACACGAGGCCTCGGTTGAATTCTCGGAGATATCTCGAAGACTTGGAGAATACTTGTAGTTACTGCTTGGAACTGAGAGAAACAAATAAAAACATTGTTGACATTTTAGTACTGTACAGCGATAGCATGAGGTCGTTATTGTTTTCGAACAACTAGTAGATTATTCGAGTTTCCAGTTGGCTCAAAAGACAAAAAAACATATTCCCATACCTTAATAGTCGTAACGAGTAATGCCACAAAAGAACTGGCCGCCAAGTGAAGAGCAAACGAGAGAAAATGTGAGCAAAACTGCCAGAAAACTTTGGAAAGTGCACAAATACTTCTTTCTAGTTCTTTTATTATGATGCGCACTGATGCCTTCTGAGCCCTTGAGCAACACCACATGGCATGGACAGGATATGACCACTGAGCTATATAATAATTCCTGGAGGACCGGTTCGTCATTTTTCGGTAACTTCGCTGCCATCTCTTTGCACAAAAAAACATGGTGGATTTTGCCTTCTGCGCAGAAGTTTTGCTGACGCCATATGGTCCCCTTTGCCCAGGGTAATTAACACTGACCAGGCTCAAATCTGAGCCCGCTACAAGAGATGCTCCCCCATTATTTATCTAAACAACAGTATTTCCCCCCTGGTTTTTTTATGAATATCTTTTTTGCCGTGAAAAATGTTGGAAACCTTGTTGTTTTGTATTTTTCGATTTATTTTTGTGCTACAAAGCGTTGCAATAAGGCGTTTATTTCAGTTCTATACAATTGTGGACGCTGTTTTGCCAATGCCAGAGAAAATTAATATTAAAATGTAAAAAAAAATTTTTCACGAAGGATTTTTATGTACGATTAGCTGACAGGTTATTTTATTTATTTATTTTCATTATTCATACATTTCTGTATAAAATTTTTGAAAATACTTGAATATTTTTTTTCGATTATCTTTCGGATATCAATCGCCGACTAAAGGTTACCGGCAGAAAATATGTTGTTATGTGATGTTTTCCTTAGAACATCATGCTTAGGCATATCAGCCTGTAACACAAGGAAAAAAAGGCCAAACCTCATGCAAGATGCTGGGCAGCTGATTATATAGTAATAGTACTTCAAGTCATATTTGCATAGGATATTTTCATTCAGGTCATTGTAGCTACCCTAAGTTACCCCTATCTTACTGTATCCCAAGTAATGCACTTTCAAATAATTCCCTGCTTGACTAAAGGATTTGATATGGAATCATATTCCAGATGATGCAAGGAAAGGCTATGGTAAATAACAAAAAAAATATTATGGTACCAACAAGATTATGGTACTAGTTGTGCTATTAAACAAAGTCTCATGAATTCATGATAATGCAACTGAGCATTATTCATCATTCATTCCTCTATTAGTCTATAATCTTTTAACCTTCAATTCCTGATTAGCCCCATGATAATATTCCTTTGAATGGTGGGAAGGGTAAAACTGTCCAGAAAATTATAAAAGTTGCAGCAAATTGAAAACAAACTGCTCAGTCAATGCATGTCTGTATAAATTTATTTTCCATTTAAATAACTATCTTAACTATGAATAACAAAGTCAACATGGTAAAATTAACAGTTTAATGTTCCAGTAATTTGCAAAAAAGCCATCCCCAAATTCAATAGCATCTTCATTCTAAAAAAGAGAGATCAGACCAAGTTTTACTGTACTCTATAGATTACACCCAGAGGACAGATCCAGACGGGAGTAAAAAACCATTGCAAAATTAACAATCAAGCTTGTAGCTTGAATCAAGCTTGTAGCTTGATCAACAAGGTGCAAGATGCCAAGAAGTCTATTAAGCTATGATTATTGACTTTGCATTTGACAAGGCAAACAAGATAACATACTAGACTTTTAACAACCACTGTTGAAATCTGACAGAAAAATCTTTTGTATCAGCACTCACACAGTCATCATGTTTAATGTTTTAAATTCATCTAAAATAGACTAGAAAGGATCAATAGAGAGACTAGCAGATTCACTGGGAGGATTGAATATTGATTCATCTTAATTGTTTGACTGAAAATACTCATGAATTGGCATTAAATACGAGTGAAAGCTCCAGTGCAAATCCCATAAGAGTTCTATTCAAAAGCCAAAACATAGCCAAAATTCAAAATATCAGTTATTGATCCTTTTTCAAAAATATAGTTTTTCATAGTGTTCAGGAGACTTTCGTTAACCGAATGAACTTCGTAGGAACTTCGGAACTTACCGGAAAAACACATGTTTTTTCGGGTTGTGTGGTTTTTCGTTTTTATCTTTGGATAATCTTTTGTAAAAGCTTTTGTACAACATTTTTTATTGAATTATATTATTTATTGTTTTGTACCAATCGTATGGGATAATTTGCGAGTTCTGAAGAACATTTGGCGATCCTGCCAGGACGTAGCAACCTTTTTTACCGTATAAATGCGTATCGTGCGAGGCTATTGAAATATGCCGTTGGAAGGTGAAAATGCCGAACAAAGCGACGCGGTTAGCTCAAAGGATTCGGGAGCTAAAGATCAGGAAATCGAAGGGAAGATCTTGGAATTAAAACGTAACAAAAGGGCGAAGAAAACAGCGACCACAAAGGTACGACACAATGTTGAAAAGTTGTGTGCTTCGAAGGGTGAATTGAGCATAGAAGAGATTGAGAAAGATATCGCAGCACTTTGGGGGTTATTAGAAGTAACATTGGATATAATGGACGAACTAAGCCTTGTTTATATAAAAACGGATGATCGTGAAAATAAAGAGGCAATGGCAAAAGAGTCTGACTCTTTCGAAGCCGAGATAAATGAGTGTATTAGCAAAGCTGAGTCGATTATTAAGGACAATTTGAGGAAGAAGTCAAATCAAAGTACCATAAGCGTGACCGGAGGCGTGGAAGCGAGTGTGTCTACCCATTCACAACAAGGGCCTGAGTCCAATGTGCCTTCGGGGGCAGAGGAAAGGGTAACAGTCTCGAGTCGTCTAAAACCCCTGAAATTACCAGTTTTTGATGGGAATAAGATCATGTTCGAGGATTATTGGGCATTATTTGAAAGCTTAGTGGACAAAAGTACTGAATCTGCGAATGTAAAGATGGCTAGACTGCGGCAAAGTCTCACAGGGCCACCCCTCGAAGCAATTAGAGGACTTGGTGTATCCCGGCCAGAATACGAGGAAGCGAAAGAACTTTTGACAACAAAGTATGGTGGTCAACGTAGGCAGCTACAAGCATACATGGACCAACTTGAGAGTATGACCCCGCTCAAAAACAACGATATTAATGGATTTGAGAGGTTCTCAGATCTTGTTCGCGTATCGGTTGTGAAGTTGCAGGCAGACGGTAGAAATGGCGAGTTAGGGGAAGGGACATTGCATAGTTTGTTGGTTAAGAAGCTTACGGATAGGCAGGTGGAAAATTATAACCGGTGGTTGGGGGAGAATAAGAAGATGCGATCTGTGTTGAATCTCCGGGATTGGTTGAAGGAAGAGGTTCGAATTAAGATAGAGGCTGCTGAGATGGTGCATGGGATTGAGGATGGCGGTGACAGAGGCGGTAGAAAGATTGAGGGTAGTCGTGGTAGATATGGTTTTAGGACGGGGGACAGAAATAATAGTCGTTCGTTTTTCAGTGATGGCGTAGGAAGTAGCAAACCACCATGTGCTTTGTGTATGGGAAACCATGGAGTGTGGGCATGTAAGAAGTTTCAGGGAATGTCGGTTGAATCTCGATGGACGGTTGCGAAAGAAAAACATCTGTGTTTTCGGTGTTTGGCCAATAACCATACGGGAAAGTTGTGCACGCGGTCAAAGGTGTGTAATATTGATGGGTGTAAAAGAAACCATCATACGCTATTACACGATACACTACCGAAACAGCAAGACGGCCAAGACAGAACCAATGTTGAACCACGGGAGGGGGAGCATCAACGTACTCTTACATCGGTAAACGAAGGCGAAAGAGCGGAGACATTGTCACTGCGAACAGTTCCCGTTTGGTTAAAGGCTAATAAGCGGAAGATAAAGATCAACGCAATTTTGGACGATGCCTCAAACGAAACCTTTCTAAATGAGGAAGTTGCAGGAGTACTCGGGTTATCTGAACCATTTGAGACTGTGAAGGTACATGTTCTGAACAACGAAGTGGAGACTTTTCAGTCAATGCCAGTGAAACTAACAATTGAGAGTGTTGATGGTCAATTCAGCAAAGAAATACAAGTAAAAACTTGTCCAAAGAAGGTGACCGGAACATATAAAGTAGAGGACTGGGGTAAAAGCAAAGGGAACTGGCCTCATCTAAGGGAGTGTGAATTTGCCAAACCTGCAAAAGACGGGCTGGTAGACTTACTAATCGGTGTTGACAATACGGAACTGCATTATTCCAGAGCAGATGTCCGGGGCAGTGTTGGAGGTCCAGTTGCTCGACTAGGTCCACTCGGGTGGACTTGCATAGGGGCGCCAGAAGATCGCAAAGTTGCTGGACCTAGAACTCATGTTATACGAACCCACCTATTGGCTAATCCAGTCAAGATTGACAATGGAAGTGTTTGCTGTGATGTTGACCAGTCTATTAAACGGTTTTGGGAAATCGAGAGTTGTGGCACTGAAGCTTGTGAGACTAAGATTTACACTGAAGAAGAAAATGTAGCCCTAACGCTGGTCAAGGAATCGTTGAGCTACGATAACACTACTCATCAATACACTGTGGGAGTTCCGTGGAAGGTTGGTCATCCGAAGTTGCCAGACAATCGCGAACAGGCCACATCCCGTTTGTGCAGCACGGAAAAGAAGTTGAAGAAGGACGAATTTCTGAAGAACGAGTACCAGAAAACTATCGACAGGTATATCGAGAAGGGGTATCTGAAACGTGTGTCTAACGACGAAGAAATTCCGCCAGAGGTATGGTATCTACCGCACTTCCCCGTGGTACGAATGGATAAAACATCGACAAAGGTGCGAATCGTGTTCGATTGTTCTGCAAAAACGGACGGAGTTTCGCTAAACGACGTGATTCACGCAGGTCCAAAATTACAACAGGACCTGTTTGACGTGTTAATTCGTTTCCGTCGAAACCCAATCGCGCTCGCGTGTGATATTAGAGAAATGTACTTACAAGTTGAGATCATGGAGAACGACCGACGTATGTTTCGAATCTTATGGAGAGACCTGGACAGTGATCGGGAACCTGATGTTCTCGAATTCAGCCGCGTAGTCTTCGGAAAGAATGCTGCACCAATGGAATGCCAGTTCGTTATTCAAGAAAACGCCAGACGGAACCAAAGTTCATATCCAATGGCAGCTGAAACAGTGTTAAAATCCACATACATGGATGATTCAATCGACAGTGTTGATACAGAAGAAGAGGGAATCGAGTTATATCAACAACTGGATAGTTTATGGAGCTTAGCGGGTATGAAAGCAAGAAAGTGGATATCAAATTCTTCCAAGGTCATTTCAGCTACCCCAGAGGAAGATCGTGCAACTGAATTCAATCTAGGTGGCCAGAAAGATCCTGTAGTAAAAACACTTGGACTTTCGTGGGAGAGCAAAGAGGATGTGCTATCCATTGCTACTGCGGAAGTACCACCAGATATATCGTTGACTAAACGGAATGTGTTGAAAAAAATCGCTACCGTATTCGATCCGCTCGGTTTTGTAAGTCCATACGTGGTTGTGGCCAAGATTCTCCTGCAAGAACTTTGGACGAGAGGTTATGATTGGGACGAAGTTATTCTGGATGAAATTGGGGACAAAATTATGCAATGGTTCCAACAGTTGGAGAGTTTAGCAGATATACGAGTTCAAAGGTGTCTTCGCGAAATGAAGAAAGTTGTAATGAAGAAAGTGATCACCTTCGTTGATGCATCCATCCAGGCGTATGGGACAGTGGTCTATTTATTGTGCGAGTATGATGACGGGACAGCGAGTAGCCGGATTATCGCGTCTAAGAGTAAGGTCGCACCATTAAAACCTATAACGGTGCCAAGGCTGGAGCTGATGGCCGCGATACTTGGTCTTCGTTTAGCACAGAACATTATTCGTACTTTAGAAATACCAGTCCAGACGGTATTGTTCTTCTCAGACAGCAAAGATGTGTTATGGTGGGTGCGAGGTCGCGGGCGTGATTTCCGACCGTTTGTGGCAAATCGTGTAGGAGAAATACAAATGGAAACTGAACCATGGCAATGGCAATATGTACCCACTGAGCAAAACCCAGCAGACCTGTGCACACGGGGAGCAAGTCCATCTGAGCTCAAGAATAGTCCTTTGTGGTGGAATGGACCCTCATGGTTGCTCGAAGATCAGGCTAAGTGGCCAAAGATGGATGTCGGAAGTCGTCCAGTTAAGTTGCCGGAAACGAAAGCTTCAAAAGAGGAAGACAAAGAAAAGGAGAATTCGACTTTTACCACTCGGCAAGGCAGGTGTTCAAAACAGCAGCCGACCGAACAGCAGGTAACGAATGACGAATGGCGACTCGACTCGAAACGTTTTTCAAGTTGGATGCGACTCGTACGGTTACACGCCAGAGTGAAGAGAGTAGTGCACAACATGAAGAACGGTGCTAAAAGGCATTCCAGCAAGGAACTAATTCCAGACGAAATCCGAGATGCGGAGGAAGACATCATCCGTCAGGCACAAAAGGAGGCTTTTGTAGAGGAATATGCAATGTTACAGAAGAAGAAACCTGTCTCACAACGAAGCATTCTGTCCAAGCTTAACCCCGTACTCGATGAACAAGGAATTATTCGTTCGGACAGTCGCTTGAGATATGCAGAGTATCTACCCTATGATGTTCGATTTCCTATAATACTACCTAGAGGTCACTGGACGACGAAACTGATTGTCAAATATCATCACGAGATGGCGAATCATGACGCAGGCACCAATTTCGTGTTATCCCAGATTAATCAGAAATATTGGATCATCGCTGCCCGTGAAGAAATCAGAGAATGGGAAAGAACCTGTAACGAGTGTAAGAAACGCAAGAACAAAGCAGCAACGCAGATCATGGCTCCTTTACCCTCAAGACGGACTCGCTTGACATACCGTGCATTCGACCAAGCAGCGGTGGATTACGCTGGACCCATTCAGACTATCCAGGGCAGGGGAAAGAAACGACTAAAGCGTTGGTTGTGTGTATTTACATGTACGGCTACGAGGGCCATACATCTGGAAGTGGCGTTTGGTTTGGACACTGATAGTTTTCTCAACGCTTTCGAAAGATTCACGAGCAGACGAGGAATACCATCGGAGGTAATAAGTGATAACGGAACAAACTTCGTTGGGGCTGTTAGTGAGCTAAAAGAGTTGGCGAATAAGTTGGACAAGGAAAAGATTCAAAGATTTACGGCGCACAAGAATGTCAAATGGGTTTTCAACCCTCCTGCCGCCCCACACTTTGGTGGAGTTTTTGAGAGCATGGTGAAAACAGCAAAAAGAGCATTGTACGCGGTGTTGGGAAACAGTGACGTAACAGACGAGGAGTTAATCACCGCATGCGCCGGTGTGGAGAGTTTAATCAATTCGAGACCCTTAACATATCAGTCGGCAAGCCCACAAGATGACGTACCATTGACTCCGAACCATTTTCTTCACGGTCAGGTCGGGGGATCCTTCGCTCCAGAAGTCGTTGACATCGAACCGTTTAATCCTCGAAAGCGATGGCGTAAGGTGCAAGATTTAATCTCTAGAGTTTGGTCGAGGTGGCTTAAAGAATACTTGCCCACACTGATCATGAGACCAAAGTGGACGGAAGTGGTGAAGGATTTAAAAGAAGGAGATGTCGTCCTATCTATCGAAAAAGATCTGCCTCGTGGTCGTTGGCCTTTAGCACGAATTGTTCAGACGTTTCCAGGACGAGATGGCCACATTAGGGTGGCGAAAATCCAGTGCGGAAATAGAACACTTATGAGGCCGATCCATAAGCTGGTTCCCATAGAACATTAGAGTGTTAAAAGATAATAGGAAATTCAGTTAAACGTTGGTTGACATTAATGTTTGTTAGAATAGTCACACTTCCTTTCCTCAGTGTGGGGAGGGGGGATGTTCGGGAGACTTTCGTTAACCGAATGAACTTCGTAGGAACTTCGGAACTTACCGGAAAAACACATGTTTTTTCGGGTTGTGTGGTTTTTCGTTTTTATCTTTGGATAATCTTTTGTAAAAGCTTTTGTACAACATTTTTTATTGAATTATATTATTTATTGTTTTGTACCAATCGTATGGGATAATTTGCGAGTTCTGAAGAACACATAGCGTAACTAAGTCATGTACCATTGATCAAAAAGGCTGCACTCTGCAGCATATTTGCCGTTTTTAACATTAATTTCAAAAGAAATAACTGCAACAGACGCTTTGGTAGTTGTCTATACCAAAGGCGAAAAACGAAAATATTATGAAAACCGGCTTACCTGGGGTAAAAATTAATACCCCAAAAGGTGAATTAGGGCCTTTCACAGCATCATATGTAGAGCAAGAAATCACTTCTCCATTTAACTTGTTGAACAGGCAAAGAGTCTTTTTAGATGCAATGCAGAAAAAATATCACAAAATATATGCCGAAAACAATACCGAAAACCCAAAATATTTTCGTAAAAATCGGGAGGGTGATAGACACGTTTTTTACTTTGTATCAGGGTATGTCAGTGGTAATTACCATGGGCAAAGGGGACCATGTGACGTTACCAAAGCTGAAAATCCGCCATCTTTTTTGTGACATTTTTTCGTGGTGAGCCGGTCCTCCAGGAATTATTATATAGCTCGGTGGATATGACATATCCCAGTCTCGGCTTAGGCCTTTTCCGCAAACTCGTGGTCTGCCAAACATTTAAGATCGAGGCGATGACATTCTGACATTCTGTCTTCACTGTCCTTAAGGACAGCGGGCGCAAAAATAATTCAAATTGCTCTTTTCCCAAACCATGGAACATTACAGCCAGTTCAAAAGTCTTGCATCTGTATATTGTCCTGAGGGACTTCAAGTTTGAACTGATTGCAACCCAAGGTGAGGCTTATGTTTTCACAATCCATGGTTTTGTTACAAGCATGATGTCAGACATGTAGACCAAAAGAGGAATGGGTTATTTTTATTCTGTTTGAATTTATATTAATTAAAAAACCGCCAGCCCCACCCTAAACCACAATCCTGGCCAACACATTGACAACATTCACTGTTTGGCTGTGTCCCATAACAAATTTAAAGCATTTACCAAAGATTCAATATTATTTGGGGGAGCAAGGGGGGCAATGGACAAGATGGACTGTTTACAACGGGAAAATGTCGTTTTTTACGTCTTGCCTAGAACGGTTGCATTTCAGGCCCAGCGAGCCCTCCCTTGAATTAGGCTATATAGAATTGTCCTTAAACATAAACAAAATGTTTTTTACGCCTTATATCTCACTGAATTGGTACAATTAATAATATAAAACAATGACTTTGCCATAGCATTTATTTAAAGAAGATTTTCAGCCGCGTCGTCGTCGTGTTGCTGTCCTACATGCTTAAGGTTCCTATTAATAAACAGGTTGAAAACGCGATCTACTGTCCTTGGCGAAACAAACAAATCGACAGCAACTCTGGTTGAAGACCTGTTATAAAATAAATTTTGCCACACAATCCCCCATCTTATATCGTCTGAATACGGCTTAGGCATTTTACAACAAGAATATCCCAACCAAGCAATTTTGCAGCGTTTGCATGCGTAATTAGATATGACACGTGATGCAAATATGTGGTCACATGTCACAACTATTTGTATATATGTCTATATTTTCGGACAACCTTTCCTAGATCCACTATATATATATATATATATATATATATATATATATATATATATATATATACATATATACATATATATATATATATATATATATATATATATATATATATATATATATATATATATATATAGAATAGTTAAAACTGTTAAAACGAGAAATCCATTTATATTAAAATACTAAAATTATAAACTAAAAACCGTCAGTAACTCGGAGTTTCACGCTCAAAGGCGATCATCAGCCTAAATAAAGGCAGGCGTCTACGCCGGCTTATAATTACTTGCATAAAATTTGTTTTCATGTCTACACTTAGAAATTAATTCAGATCTTTTGTTTAAAAGAGTGCCTTTGTTAGTGTTTATAATACAGAGCTTCTCCGTCAAACACAGGGCGCATTGTTTCGATCCAGCAGTGTATGCCTTTGCTCGTTTCAAAATGGACCATTTGATAGAATATTCAACATCCAATTTCTTTAACTTCCAGACGTACTTTGACAATGCAGTAGAGTTTTCATATTTTGCATGTTTAAATGATTGCTTGTGGACATCGCAAAGCGGTTTTACATCACCAATCGAATATAGCGATTTAAACTGCAGTAAAAGCCAGCAAAACAAGGAGAAAAAGAAAAGAACCCGAAAGGTGACCTGGTTTAACCCACCGTACAGCCGTAATGTGAAGTGTAACGTCGCTGGTCGCTTTTTACGTTTAATCGATAAGCATTTTCCTGGCAAGCATAAATTAAGCAAGATTTTTAACAGAAAGAATGTGAAAGTCAGCTACAGTTGTATGGATAATATGGCATGCATCATAAGACGACACAACAACACAATCCTTAACCGTAAGCCGAATTTGCCTGAAAGAAACTGCAACTGCAGAGTTAAGACGGAATGCCCCTTAAGTGGTGCATGCCTGACCAAGAGTATTGTTTACAAAGCAGATATAACAGCAAATGGCCACAAAAAAAAAGCACTACATCGGCATGACTGAACATGAATTCAAAACAAGGTACAATGTCCACAAGCAATCATTTAAACATGCAAAATATGAAAACTCTACTGCATTGTCAAAGTACGTCTGGAAGTTAAAGAAATTGGATGTTGAATATTCTATCAAATGGTCCATTTTGAAACGAGCAAAGGCATACACTGCTGGATCGAAACAATGCGCCCTGTGTTTGATGGAGAAGCTCTGTATTATAAACGCTAACAAAAACACTCTTTTAAACAAAAGATCTGAATTAATTTCTAAGTGTAGACATGAAAACAAATTTTATGCAAGTAAAATATTTAGTCTGATGATCGCTTTTGAGCGTGAAACTCCGAGTTACTGACGGTTTTTAGTTTATAATTTTAGTATTTTAATATAAATGGATTTCTCGTTTTAACAGTTTTAACTATTCTATGCATGCTCTACGCAGCCACGCGTATAGAGCTCTCTCCTACCGAGTGATCTCTACCTGCTGGTAACCACCTACTATTATTTGCTCCCGTCTGGTTGAGCTCTCTTGTTCACGAAGTTTTAGTTCAAAATGCAGAAAATCCAACTCCAATACACCACCAAGAACATCCCATTGCCTTCAAGAAACGCATATAAGTCAGAGCTCCTTACAAAGGTCGAAAGCGTCATCAAAAGCATGCGATGGAAAGCCTTCTTTTTCCTGAACCCAGCAACTAATCAAACTCTGCACAAGTTCCATTTTGCATCAACAAAATGCCCACCACAAATCGAAGAACTGATTCCTTTCGAGAACGACCTATTCAGGATGATTGAAACCATACAATTTAGAAACTTCAACGACCAATTCCAGAGCAAAATGAAAGCTGACATCAAGAAGATAAACACCTCAGACAAAGTTATTGCATTTGCAGACAAAACGAGAAACCTGTACGAAGTTGACAAAGAGGATTATGAAAAGCTCTTGCGGGAAAACATCACGAAGAGCTATAAACGAGCCGATGAACAGCATTTCAATGACATAAACCAAGAGATCAAGAGCATTGCTACCACCCTCAACATCGACGATAGGGTCGAAATAATGGCAAAACAACAAGCATACATTACCTTGAAAGACCATAAGGACAATTTCCTAAACAAGCCATCATGCAGGCTCATTAACCCTTCCAAAAGCAACCTCGGGCGGGTAAGCAAACAAATTATCGAGAGAATCAATGATAAAGTCCGGTCATGCATCAATGCTAACCAGTGGAAGAACACAGATTCGGTCATCAAATGGTTCAATGCGCTGGAAGATAAACAGTCACTCACGTTTCTAGTGTTCGACATTGTTGATTACTACCCCTCAATAACAGAAGACCTACTCACTAAGTCACTCGACTTTGCTAGCCAGTACGCAGAAATTTCCGATCAAGACCGCCACATCATTATGCATGCCCGAAAATCTCTATTGTTCGACGACGGAGAAGCCTGGCGTAAAAGAAACAACGCCGCGATGTTTGATGTCACCATGGGGAGTTTCGATGGGGCCGAGATTTGTGATCTTGTGGGCCTTTTCATGTTATACCAACTCACAACGAAATTAAACAACAATAACATTGGCCTCTATAGGGACGACGGCCTCGCAGCCTTTCGATACATGGGACCGAGAACAGCTGATCGAATGAGAAAACGACTATCTGAATACTTCAGTGAATTCGATTTGAAGATAACCAGCCAAGCTAACTTTCCCAAAACTCCATGTTTAGACATATAATTAATATAAAAATTTTACTCAAGTTAGTTTAAACTCACGGACAATGTGTATATTGTAGAAACATATGTGTATGTAAACTACTGATAATATATTCAAATCAAGACCTAACATATATATATATATATATATATATATACACAGGTGTAGTGATAGAAACTATCGTAAAGATAGAAACTAGCGCATACAAAATCGTCTGGGTAGAGTGCTCAATGCTAATGCAGAGCGGCATAACACAAGATGAGAAAACGCAGGTTACTTCATCGAAATTTTATTTACTACAGGACTGTTTCGTATGACAAGCTTATAGCTTGCCACACTCGTCAGGTAAATAATATAATATTACAACAGCACGACAGACTATATACAGGAGATGCATAATTAATTAATTAGATCATGTTACATGGGTGTTACTAAGGAGAAATTTCTTTCGATGTCGGCAGGCGGATACGAGTTTGTTGCGTTTGTTAAGAGAGCTTAATTCAGGGTGACAGATAATGATGAATTTTTCGGAAAGGCATAGATTACAGCGTTTGGTTTTGTTGCAGTATGGTTTTGACTTTTTCATTATTTTCCAATTGATGGTGTATGGTGTATTATTATCTTTTAATTGCCAAATGTGTTTGCTCAGTTCAGTTGCATTTTTCTTAGTTTTGTTGCGGAAGGTGCTGGTGTGGTTGAGATAGCGTGTTTTAAAAGTATTTTCGGTAAGACCAACGTATGTTTCAATTTCTTTCGTCGCCTCATTGGTTACAGCAGCTTGATACACTACGGCTTTTGTTTGACACTCGCCTCGAAGTGGACATGCGTCTTTCACGCGGCAATTGCATCGGTTTTCTGTGGTGATGTTGTTGTTAACTTCGTTCCGCAGTATTGTTTTGTTGTGGGATGAGATGATGCTCTGTACGTTTGGCATACAACTATAACTTAACTTTAACGTGTTTCGGTTGAAGATTTGTGCAATGGATGGTTTGGGGGAAGGATTCATCTATGCCTTTAAGGAACTTGTGGCCAATATCGGTTTTGACGTTTGAGCTGTAAGGTGGGTTGTACCAAGTGACATTTCTGGTTCTTTGTCGGGTTCGTTGAGTAGGTTGGGGGTTGTAGTGTAAGTTATAGTTGTATCCACTCTTCTTTAACGCTTCTTGGTATGGGCGCTTGCTTGAATCAAATGATTCCTTGTCTGATGAAATTTTTGAAAGGCGTTGATTGATCGTTTCGGGGATTCTACGCATAATGGAGGGAGGGTGGTTGCTCTTGACGTTGACGTACTGGGGCATGTTGCCTGGCTTTGTATACGGTTTGAATGTTCCGGTCATTAGATTGAATGTAATGTCTAGAAAGTTTACGCATTTCTTGTTAGCCTCGATAGTTAGTTTGAGTTTATTGTCGCTGAACACTTTACAGATTTCTTTCTTTATTTTTTCTATCTCGCGTGGAGGGACGTTGAACGAGCTCAGGCCATCATCTCGGTACAAACCAATAGCATTTCTATACGTGGCAGGAAGTTGTGATAGCAAGTAGGCTCCCACCAGTTCGCATGTTTCCGCACCGTCAAAACTGCCCATTGTCACATCAAAATTCGAGCTACTGTCCTTCTTGCACCAAGCTTGGTTTTCACTAAAGAGCAAGGAGTTCTTGGCTTGAATTATGATGTGACTTTCTTCTTCTGTTATCTCATCATATTGGGACACGAATGCAATAGCCTTGTTTAAAAGCTCGTCTGTTATCGATAGATAAAAATCAACGACCTCAAAGCTGATAAACGAGTGTGCGGGTTTGTTATCAATGTTCTTGAACCATTGAATGACAGAGATACTGTTTTTCCATTGCATCACACCGGTGGAAGATATAATTTTATTGTTGATTCGCTCGAGGATTTTTTTACTAATAATGCCGATCTCGGATTTGGCGGGATTGATGAGGCGCGTTGTCGGATTGTTGTTGAAGTTTGGCTTGTGGTCTTTTAACGTAATGAAACATTCTTTCTCGGCCATTGCATCGATTCTACTATCTAACTTTAGGTTTTTCGCGATTCTCCGTTCTTCTTTGGCTATTTCGGCTGTGCTGTTTGCTGTCGCTTTCTTGTAGGTTTTTGTAATGCTGTTGTGGAGAAGTTGTTTGTATGGCTCGGGTTTCACGCGGTAGAAGTTGGTAGTCTTGTCGGCGGGTATGAACAGTTCGTTGTCTTTCTTTATTTTCTTAATGTCTTGGTTCAGTTTATTTTGGAATGCAGATGTTGACGGTTGGAATTCAATGTTCTGAACTAGCGTTAGCATTCTTTCCTCAAAATCATGAAGTTCGGCGATTGGTGGTGGTGATGTTGTTTTTGAAGCCATATGTTTCTCTCTTGATTGAAGTGTCAGTTTTGTGGAGAAAGTGGTGCGCTTTCCATCTCAAATGTTGAAGGAAGGATTGCGTTTTTTCAATTAGGCATCTTCTGTACATGTTTGGCTGTGCTGTTGGGATATTCTTCGTGGAGTAGCCAAGGTTTGTGGGTTCCATTTCAATATGTATTAGAGTGCTCGACAGTGAAGGAGCGTGATATACAGGTGTTGTGATAGAAACTATCGTGAAGATAGAAACTAGCGCATACAAAATCGTCTGGGTAGAGTGCTCAATGCTAATGCAGAGCGGCATAACACAAGATGAGAAAACGCAGGTTACTTCATCGAAATTTTATTTACTACAGGACTGTTTCGTATGACAAGCTTACAGCTTGCCACACTCGTCAGGTAAATAATATAATACTACAACAGCACGACGGACTATATACAGGAGATGCATAATTAATTAATTAGATCATGTTACATGGGTGTTACTAAGGAGAAATGTCTTTCGATGTCGGCAGGCGGATACGAGTTTGTTGCGTTTGTTAAGAGAGCTTAATTCAGGGTGACAGATAATGATGAATTTTTCGGAAAGGCATAGATTACAGCGTTTGGTTTTGTTGCAGTATGGTTTTGACTTTTTCATTATTTTCCAATTGATGATGTATGGTGTATTATTATCTTTTAATTGCCAAATGTGTTTGCTCAGTTCAGTTGCATTTTTCTTAGTTTTGTTGCGGAAGGTGCTGGTGTGGTTGAGATAGCGTGTTTTAAAAGTATTTTCGGTAAGACCAACGTATGTTTCAATTTCTTTCGTCGCCTCATTGGTTACAGCAGCTTGATACACTACGGCTTTTGTTTGACACTCGCCTCGAAGTGGACATGCGTCTTTCACGCGGCAATTGCATCGGTTTTCTGTGGTGATGTTGTTGTTAACTTCGTTCCGCAGTATTGTTTTGTTGTGGGATGAGATGATGCTCTGTACGTTTGGTATGGTGTTTTATTATCTTTTAATTGCCAAATGTGTTTGCTCAGTTCAGTTGCATTTTTCTTAGTTTTGTTGCGGAAGGTGCTGGTGTGGTTGAGATAGCGGATACAACTATAACTTACACTACAACCCCCAACCTACTCAACGAACCCGACAAAGAACCAGAAACGTCACTTGGTACAACCCACCTTACAGCTCAAACGTCAAAACCGATATTGGCCACAAGTTCCTTAAAGCCATAGATGAATCCTTCCCCCCAAACCATCCATTGCACAAAATCTTCAACCGAAACACGTTAAAGTTAAGTTATAGTTGTATGCCAAACGTACAGAGCATCATCTCATCCCACAACAAAACAATACTGCGGAACGAAGTTAACAACAACATCACCACAGAAAACCGATGCAATTGCCGCGTGAAAGACGCATGTCCACTTCGAGGCGAGTGTCAAACAAAAGCCGTAGTGTACCAAGCTGCTGTAACCAATGAGGCGACGAAAGAAATTGAAACATACGTTGGTCTTACCGAAAAAGTGAATGTTTATATACATACTGTTATTCAACTCAACTGAATAATGTTAGCTCCACCACAAGTTCATTGCGTCACGCAGTTTCAATCAACCGGCTGGGAGGTTTTCTTTCGCGACGTGGGTTACGTGGTTCGAACACAGCACTTGCAGTCCCCTCCTCCGGTTCGTTTGTCGTAGCTGAATCACGAGTCTGCGTCCATTCAGCATCAGAAACCGATGACTGGGGCGATGAGTCCACTGGGAAAGCGTTAGGCTCCGCTGGAAGGACTAACCTGGGATTTTGACTAACCTCAGGAACAACTTCTCGGCCTCCCGGTGGTGGATTATCCATATCTGATGGGTGACAGGCGCAAATCTGGTCGATATGTCGTTTCCACGGCATGCTGTCGACTTGGACGGTATAAGTGACCGGTCCCAGTTTTTTTAACACCACTCCTCGAATCCATGATGGCTTCTTCGGGTTCTTCCGGTAATCTCGAACCATAATTATATCTCCTAGTTCATGCAACCGGGTTCTTTTCTCTTCAGGCATTGATCTTTTCATTACTGATTCTCCTAGAGATGGTTTACACACGTCTAATCTCGTTCTCACTTTTCTTCCGAGAAACAGCTCACTTGGTGTAACTTTAGTCAAACTGTGCGGTGTGGTACGGTACGATAGTAAAAACCAGATGCCAGTTTCTGATTTAATGTACCCGATTCAGACTCCATAGTCTTCATGGCTTGTTTAAAAGTACGAACTGCACGTTCAGCCTCCCCATTTGAACTTGGGTGATACGGTGCTGATCTAATATGGCGAACTCCATTGTTTTTCAAGAAGGTCTGAAATTCTTCAGCTACGAACTGCGGTCCATTGTCCGACACTAATTCTCTGGGAAGCCCAAACGATGAGAACAGGTAACGTAAGGCGTTGATGGTACTCTCGGCCATCGTAGATTTCATCTTGACGACATCTAACCATTTGGAATGAGCATCGACCACAATCAAAAACATTTCCCCCAGAAACTGTCCGGCGTAATCGACATGGATCCGTTGCTAAGGTGATTGTGGCCAAAGCCAAGGGTTGGCTTGAGCTTTCGGACAATTTGGCAAATGCTCTCTACAGGGTTCACACGCCGCAACTTTTCTCTCGATGTTGGTATCCAGGTTTGGCCACCAAACATGTAATCTCGCAAGGGCCTTCATACGCACCATGCCAGGGTGACTTCTATGTAATTCGTCCAGGATTTCTTCACGATAACATTCTGGGACTATCACACGAACTCCTCGGAGCAGACAATCTTCCTCGATAGAGATTTCCTCCCGCACACGATGGTACGCTTGTAATTCGCTGTCGACCTCACTTCGAGGCCAACCACACCTGGTATATTCGGTGACCCCAGACAACCACTTGTTGTTCCTTGTAGCGCTGGCCATTCGAGTGGCGGATATTGGTAAGCCGTTGACTTGCATTTTGTTCACAAGTTCTGCTTCTTGGAAGAAGACACCGTCCAACACTTCGCCGGATGCAGCGAGAGGGAAACGTGACAGCGTATCGGCATTTCCATTCTCTTCAGTTGAACGGTACTTGATGTCGAACTGGTAGGCTGATAGTTGGATCGCCCATCTCTGAATACGCGATGCTGCCAAGACGGGAATTCCCTTTTTTGGACCAAGAATCAGCGTCAATGGCTTATGATCTGTCAGCAAGATAAATCGTCGTCAGTACAGGTATTGGTGAAATTTCTTAATTCCGAACACAATTGCAAGGGCTTCTTTTTTTATCATGGAGTAGTTACGCTCCGCTGAAGTGAGATTCTAAAGGCATACGCAATCGGTCGTTCTTCATTCGCACTATCCATCTGATGGGAAATCACTGCTCCCAATCCGTGGGCAGAAGCATCCACTGCTAAAACCAACAGCTTCTTAGGGTCCTAATGAACCAACACTTCTGACAACACAAGATGCTTCTTAACTAGTTTACAGGCATTTGCACATTCTTCCGTCCAAACCCACTCCACGTTATTTGCCAAAAGATCAGTCAGCGGTTGAACCATTGTCGACATGTTTGGGATAAATTTACGGTAATAGTTCACAATACCCAACCACGATTGCAGCTCCTTCTTGTTGTTGGGATCTTCGAGCTTCAACATGGCTTCCACTTTCTTCGGTGAGGGGTGGATACCCTCTTTGTTCACCACGAAAGCAAAATATTCTACTTCGTCTTGCATGAACGAACATTTCGACTCTTTAAGTTTGATGCCAAAGTCGTCTAATCGTTGTAATGTTAACTCCAAATTCTGCCTGTGCTCTGTATCATCTTTGCCCGTTACTAAAATATCGTCAAGGATATACCCGACTCCGCCAATCCCTTGGAGTATCTCATCCATAGTTTTTTGGATTTAGTTTTTCCAACGAATCGAGCGGTTAATGGCGCGAGGTATTCAGCTGCGTACTTCATTACTTTAACTATGTATTCTATGCCATGGAAGACGCTGGCATCCTGTTTCTTGACAATCCCACACATGTTTTTATATTACACTACGTTTTTCTACCCCGAATTAACCATTCATTGCATGGATACAAGGATGCTTTTAACAACCATGGCATTTGGACTGCCAATAATTGGTCACCAAACCAAATGTGGTTGAATGGTATGTTGAACGGAGAAAATCCATTAGCACACAAAGGACCGCCTTTCCAATTTGCTCTCAAATTTCATTTTCCTTGAGTGTACTTTCTATCTCTATTATTTCACGCAGTAAAACTTTATCTTCTGATGACGACCATGGCATTTCAGTGTCTCTAACTTCCACCAATTGATACAAACTCATAAACTCTGGTTTCTTTACGTTTTTTTAACATTGAGTTGGAGTTAGACTGGTTGCTAACAACTGTTGCTCTTAAACGCTCTCGATGTCCAAGTTGAGAAAATGCGCCAGCAGTGGAATGTGATATCATTGCTTGTGCGCGATCCAAAACTGAACTAACGGTCCTTGATGCCATTGATGTGGAAGATGACACAGAAGAACTCCTGGAATTTGCTACGGTTGAACTTTGAGATGCATTTGCTATGGTTGAACTCTGAGATGCTTTTGCTACGGTTGAACTTTGCAATGTACTTGATTCATTCAAGGGTGCCATAAACGAAGTCAAAATAGAATTTGCCTCCTGCAGATGACGAGAAAGCACTTGCAGTTGCTTGGCGTCCGCCATTTTGTATCATTTGTATTACCATGTGCATGTAGACCATGTGACTTTTTAGCTTGGTAACCATGCATCATTAAATTGAATATTTGTTGAATTCAATAAAAATTCATTGAATTGAATATTTGTTGAAAATAAAAAAAAAGTCATTGAATTGAATATTTGTTGAATTGAATAAAAATTTATTGAATTGAATATTTGTTGAATTGAATAAAAATTCATTGAATTGAATATTTGTTGAATTGAATAAAAAGTCATTGCGTTGAATAAAATATCATTGAATTGAATAGTGGTTGAATTGAATAAAAAGTCATTGAGTTGAATAGAATATCATTGAATTGAATAATTGTTGAATTGAATAGTTATTGAATTGAATAAAAATTCATTTAATTGGATAATAATTGAATTAAAAGAATGAAATTTAATATGCAAAATCGATATTGAATATTGCTACAATCGGCTTGCCATAGTTAGGAAGAAACAACACTGTGTTGTTTATGTATTGATAGATCTCTTACATTAATGTATATTATGTCAATAGCAAGTCGATACCTGATATTCTGCATACAGTACATAAATGATTCTATACAAAACGGACATTTTGGCGGTATACGGTATTGATTATAAGTATATTGTTTGTAATGATTTATGCGTCGAAGTATCCACATCATAGAGATAATATGCACTGTGGTTTATTTACATTATTTACAAAGATTTTGCCTATTCTTATGAAGTGACAAATAAATTGTTGCCATCATATAAATGTAGTGAATGTAGTCAGAGCCGTTTGATGAAGAAAAGAGACTAAACCGAGAAAATTGCGCCCGGTTAGGCCGGTTTACATGGCAACTAAAATTATAATTTAATAGTGACAGTATCCGTGGCTAACGTAACTTGAGTACTTTGAGTAATTTCCTTTTGATTAATGTTTAACCTAGTTCATTATATTTTTACTGGCATAAGTCAAAATGTTTATGTTGGGACAAACACGTCTGGTTGCTTAGGTATTACAGGGCATGAAAACTTTGCACTATCCTTGGATCCCTAGTTAGTACAATCTAACTTCCTTTTCATATATTGTCTTTTTTGAGTATCTTTAACTTTTTCCAAATAGTTCTGCTTGTACATAATATTTGACAATTTTGATGATTTTGCAACCTTTTCGGAATTTAATTTTCTGGCAGCTGCCATTTTATTTAATTTTTTTACATTTTCATGATATGATAGTCTGTATGTTGCAGTGGATGCCTTAAAATTTTCTTTCACTTTTCGGGGTTTGATTGTTGGTATGTTGCAGTAGACGTCTTAAAAATCTTTCTTACTTTTTCAGGATTTGATTGTCTGTATGTTGCATTGGCTGTTTTAAAAATATCTTTTACTTTTTCAGGATTTGATTGTCTGTATGTTGCAGTGGCTTTTTGCAAAGATTCCTTAATTTTCTGAGGATTTGAGCTTTTGTATTTCTTATTATATGACTTTTTTCTCTCGCTTTCTTTCTTTTTAAATTTGTTATTCAACCTTCTTTTCTTTATGTATTCTTTCATATATCCGCTTCTTTTGAGAATTTTCTGAGATATTGTTATTACTATTGAACTGCAAATTTTGTTGATTTGGGTTTTGTTTACTAGTTCCTGTCTGATTTCCTATTTGTTGATAAACAGATTGTTCAATTGGCATTGTAGAAACATAATGCAGTTCTTCAAGGTGTACAATATAAATATCTCTTGCATTTTGTCCAGACTGAGCATAAATAGAAGTTACAACTGTAGTCTCAGTAAAATTTTGTGCACTTTCTGTGATATGAATTCTCAAATTATGTGCATTCGCAACTGCCTGTATAATAAATTAATAATATGGTCTGCCCATGAGCCTAGCCTTGACATGTTGTGTAAATAATGCGACCAATATTGTTCAGTATTAGACTCTATGAAATATTCTGAACGGAGTAATGTTGGATAGCATGAGCTCTGATTTAGGCATGGCAATTTTCTGTTCCATAAAGCTGATTGCTTACACTACGAAATAAACTGTTACCATCACCAACAATGTTTACTGGCTTTTGTCCTATTCGAGCTAGTCTTGTGGTCTATACTGACATCAGGGGCGGATCTAGGATTTTTTTATGTTCTTCAAAAATTGACAAATTTGCATTTCGGGGGGGGGGGGCTGTAGTTCAAGTTTTTTTTAATATACTTATATGATAAAATCGAATTGATATACAAAAGATGACTGTCTCAGCCAATATCAGGGGTCATCTGCATGCCTAGAAAAGAAAAACTGCATAGCAGCACCTTCCCAAACATGAACAGCCTCTTTTTTGGTTGAGGCCTAGCGGTCTGGTTTTAAGGTGCCAGACAATCGCCTTCACACCTTTGGGTTTGGTTGGAAATAAGTGACTATTTGGGACATTTCTTGGGTGCAAAACTGCTTAATTTTTTACAACGCCCAAGTCGGTTCCAACCTTTTAACCCCCCAACTATTATTTATTACATTAAACTACCAATTTCATGTATGTTTCATCATTGTTCAAAGTTCATAATTAAGAGACTGTCTCCCCAAAAACTGATCACTCATATTTTACGTAAAAAGTAAACCCACCTAAAACTTTATGATTTTTTGGTTTGGGCTTTTAATTACCTGAATCGCTTTTACGTTTCTCAAATATTTTATTTTTATCCAGATATACTGATCAGTAGTCCCAGGGATGTAGGAGACAAAATGGCGGCTGTCTGAACGCGACATTTCCTACTAAATTTGGTTGCCGCATACAATGAACTCTGACTTTCAATGTCAATTCTATTGGGATATTTTTTAACAACAGGTGGTTGAAATTTATTGTTAACACTAACATTCTTGATTTCATGTATAAGTTATTAAAAACATTGCACAACGTAACCAAGTCTGATCCGCCTTGTCTGTACGACCAACACACCGCGTTGAGTAGAATTTGATATTCCCAAATCTGGATTGAAATTACCACAACTACCATGGTTCTGTTATATAATAGTTAGTCGAATAATATGATATGTTATTTTGTGTGGGTCTGTTTGCGTTTCTTCAACAGAATGCTGTCAATATACATCAAATTCGGCTTAATTTGCAAACGGAAATAATTGGCACTGCGAACTCTTCAAGTACTCTTTGGCCAGAATAATTTGCTAAATACTTACAAAAGCAAAAGTATTGTGTTTTAAGAAAGCAATGTTAAATAGTTTCACAACTAAAGACTACTTTAAACTTCTGGAAAATCATAAATATAGAAAATATCTTGATTCTAACGGATTGCCAACAACCGAAAGACGACAAGCCACACACAGAGTTGACCATTACTTTTAATATTTTACGCGTTGTACCCTACAAGTTTGGTAAAAAAAAGTGTTTAATTATTCAAAATCTTATTATTCAAATACTTTCCCATATATTTTTTCCACTACGGTACTATACTTCTGGTATGCATAATTGAAATCAACATGCATACGAGTCATCATCAATTTTTATCACTGGGCGCTTCTAGCTTTTTACTAAAGTTTAAAAGTTTGTTAACTTCCAGAGTGCACTTTGACTTGTCAAGTACACAAAATTCTAAAAGTAAACGAGACTTACCTAGTCGAAGTTTTATTTGAATTCTGTGAGTTATTGGTCGGGAGTGGAGGAGTCATATGACATCATATGAGAAAGCCATGATCAGTATTTAACAGAACCAGAGAGTACTTGACCCAAATCGGGTTGGGATATCGTCACACTCCATAAGTATTCATCAAACATTTAGGGTGGGCATATTACTCCTCCGCTCCCGACCAATAACTCACAGAACCCAAATCAAACTTCGACTAGGCAAGTCTCGTTTAATTTTAGAATTCTGTTTCGTCATTGGTCTTGGTCGCTACGGAGTCATATGACATCATATGAGATTTTAAAGCAGTACAAGTACACAATAAACACAGTAAGTAAGCCCAATAAATCAAAACTTGATTCATTCATAAACAATAACATATAGGCCACTCGTTATTGAGTACTATTTAACAAAAACCTGCCAAAATTGCCCGCTGTTTTAACTGGTTTATTATAGTATTTTCCAAACGTAGACTCTTGTGACCATCCAGCACTCTGCATAATCATATCAACGGGCATACTCTCAGCTTTTGCTGCTGATGTTGCTGCTGCCCGAGTACTGTGAGCTTCA